AAATTCAGATTATCTATATAGCTTCAAATCACAAGTTGTCTCAGGGCACTTTACAGGAACATTCACAGACATGGAAAAGCCAACTAGTGAAGTTCTCTATCTAAGGAAGCAGCAGACTCGTTAAATCTTCACTTCTTCACAGTCTCTCATCCTGAGCGAGCACAGTGGCAACAGTGGAAGGGAAAAACTAACTTTTAACAGGAAGAAACCTCCAGCAGAACCAGACCCAGGACAAGTGGCCACCTGCTTTGACTCGACTGCTTTGCTTTGCTGGGTTTGAATACAGAATGACAGGTCCAGATGTAGCTGCAGGTACTGGTGTAGTCTACATTTTTCTAGCGGGTACACTGTGGTAAAGCTAGTTTTACGTTGGACACCGTTGAAGCCACGAAGCGAGAATGTCCAACGTAAAACTAACTTTACCACGGTCGGTCCATATACTGTACTTAGAAACCAAAGTACACTCATTAGTACAATGTGATCTTCAAGGTCACTGAGCTCACATTCTGTGTCAATGATCACGGTTTTAAAGGAATATCTTTTGTCAGGTGACTGAAGACAAGAACATAAGAGGACAGACTAGAAACATTTGGAAATCTCCAGACCCTCCCAGCCACGCTGGACCTGATTTTGATTCTCTTGTGACAAATTCCTTCGTTTCTCACCATTTCAGTCATGGCGTCAACGGAGGAGGAAGAGATGCCTTTTGGCAAAAAACAAAAGAAAAGGTCATTAAACCAGATCAGGGATGAAGAAGGGGAATTTAATACATCGGTGTCGCAAACAAAACAGTCCGTCGCTGAGCAGTTTATTGTGCGACACAGAGTAGGCGCACGCGGTCGTAAAAATTGAGCTTTGCAAGGACGTGTCCTGCGGGCGTCCGCTTCGACTCTAATCCGGTACGAGCAGACCTATGTGGACTGAAGTATGCGCGACAGCTCAGGAAACCCAAGCCAACCCTAACTATAGGATTTATCAAAAAGGAAAGTCTTAAAACTGGAGAATGTGTCATTCTCACAGACAGAAACTGGAAGTTGGTTCCACAAGAGAGGAGCCTGAGAACTGAAAGATCTGCCTCTCATTCTGCTTTTGGAAAGTATAGGAACCACAAGTAAACCTGCAGTCTGAGAGCGAAGTGCTC